AGAACGTTACAGGGTAAAATACAGTGCTAGCAAATTCAATTCTCTGGGATTTCGGCCTGGGTTGGCAGGCAGGTCCCTTAAATTGCAATCAATAAAATTACTGAATTATGTAAAACTATTACATAAATACGCACGTAGAATTTAAATATATATGCATATTTATATATTTGAAGTCTACGTGTATATTTATATAATTATTTATGTAATTTTGTATATGGACGTATGTATATTTCTATTATTTTTATTTATTTTTATATACATAGATATATATACAAATTCATTCTAAGTGTATTTTGATATAAATATATATATATTAATTTTAAAATACAGTTAGAATAAAATTTCATATAGATATAATTTTTTTTAATTTTTTTATTATTATTTTAAATTTTTTTTATTTAATTTAAATTACTTATTTATATTTTATAATAATATAATATATATAGTTATTATATATATTATATATATACGTGTGTAATTTAATTATAAGTGTATTTTTATATTAATATAAAAATACACTTAGTATGGCATTATATAGATGATATATAGACATATATTATATAGATATATTATATGTCTATATATCATATATACACATATATAATTATTATTATTTTTTTTATTACCATTAACTTTATTTTTTTTTTTTATTTTACACTAGCAGGGAGACTGCCTGTCAGCACAGACAGTCCCCCTGCAGGCAGCACTATGGACTGTGTTAAGCGATCACATGGCCACAGGGGTCCTAAATCAGTGTGGGGAGACTTTCTGGGCTGCAGGCAGTCTCCCCACAACCGGAGCAACACTGATCGCCGCCGGGGGAACGACGGCGATCAGGTAAGTACCCCCAGACCGTTAGGACGGTTCAGGACCGTCATCGGTCCTCAAGGCAAAAATGCCGATGACGGTCCTGAACCGTCCTCGGTCCTTAAGGGGTTAAACCATACATTTATAAAAACATTAGCAGGTGTTCAAAAGGCCCTGTCTATGACATCACTTGCCGCTGCAGCCTGGCACAGGTCAGAGTATTTTGGCGGTTGCCATCTTCAAACGGTCGTATTTTAAAAACTATAACTCCTACAGCGAAGAGCTTTATATTGTGAGAATCACAAGACCCAGACCTACATTTTGATGCATAGTATGTCTCTGAAGTATTAAAATTGAAGGCACAGTCGCAGTTTAGAAATTGCACTTCAAATTTGAGCTTTGCAGAGTGAAGTTTCAATGAAAGCCAATGGACGGCGTTAGTTGCAAACAAATGATTATATTGTGAAAACTATCAGGACTATGGCTTAGCCGTTGACATGTTTAGTGGCAGCAGGGATAGCTGAACGCTTTGATATAAGATTTGTGTAGGTGGGCCTGAAAATAAGGGAGTGGTGGCAGTTTAGAAATCATGTCCTGATTTTCAGCTTTTGCCAGCTCCCACTCTAGCTTTGCCATTCATTCCTATGGGACAAATTGCGCCACAAAAACGACGATATTCCGTGAACCATTCGGCGAAACGTTCCACAAAGTAATAGCAATCCGATCGGGAACAATCTGCACGTTTTGGTAAATTTTTGTCTATGTTGTGTAAAAACTGTGGGAGGAGTTAGGGTGGCAAATTTGGCTATAATAATAATAATAATAATATATATGTGAGATAACAATAAGTGTTCTTGCAAGAACACTTAATAATAATAATATATATGTGAGATAACATTAAGTGGTCTTGCTATGCAAGAACACTTAATAATAATATATATGTGAGATAACATTAAGTGGTCTTGCTATGCAAGAACACTTAAATATAAAGCTCAGTATCAGTGATGTATAATAATATATAATATAAAGCTCAGTGTTAGTGATGTATAATAATATATAATAATATAAAGCTCAGTGTCAGTGATATATAATATATAATATATAATAATATAAAGCTCACTGTCAGTGATGTATAATAATATATAATAATATAAAGCTCACTGTCAGTGATGTATAATATAAAGCTCAGTGTTAGTGATGTATAATATATAATATAAAGCTCAGTGTCAGTGATGTATAATATAAAGCTCAGTGTTAGTGATGTATAATAATATAAAGCTCACTGTCAGTGATGTATAATAATATATACTAATATAAAGCTCAGTGTCAGTGATGTATAATATAAAGCTCAGTGTTAGTGATGTATTATAATATATAATAATATAAAGCTCAGTATTAGTGATGTATAATAATATATAATATAAAGCTCAGTGTTAGTGATGTATTATAATATATAATAATATAAAGCTCAGTATTAGTGATGTATAATAATATATAATATAAAGCTCAGTGTTTGTGATGTATAATAATATATAATATAAAGCTCAGTGTTAGTGATGTATAATAATATATAATATAAAGCTCAGTGTTAGTGATGTATAATAATATATAATAATATAAAGCTCAGTGTTAGTAATGTATAATAATATATAATAATATAAAGCTCAGTGTAAGAGATGTATAATATATAATAATATAAAGCTCAGTGTAAGAGATGTATAATATATAATAATAAAAAGCTCAGTGTTAGTGATGTATAATAATATAAAGCTCAGTGTAAGTGATGTATAATATATAATAATAAAAAGCTCAGTGTTAGTGATGTATAATAATATATAATATAAAGCTCAGTATTAGTGATATATAATATATAATAATATAAAGCTCAGTATTAGTGATATATAATATATAATAATATAAAGCTCAGTATTAGTGATATATAATATATAATAATATAAAGCTCAGTATTAATATATAATAATAATATAAAGCTCAGTATTAATATATAATAATATAAAGCTCAGTATTAGTGATATATAATAATATATAATAATATAAAGCTCAGTATTAGTGATATATAATATATAATAATATAAAGCTCAGTATTAGTGATATATAAATATATAATAATATAAAGCTCAGTATTAATATATAATAATAATATAAAGCTCAGTATTAATATATAATAATATAAAGCTCAGTATTAGTGATATATAATATATAATAATATAAAGCTCAGTATTAGTGATATATAATATATAATAATATAAAGCTCAGTATTAGTGATATATAATATATAATAATATAAAGCTCAGTATTAGTGATATATAATAATATATAATAATATAAAGCTCAGTATTAGTGATATATAATAATATATAATAATATAAAGCTCAGTATTAGTGATATATAATATATAATAATATAAAGCTCAGTATTAGTGATATATAAATATATAATAATATAAAGCTCAGTATTAATATATAATAATAATATAAAGCTCAGTATTAATATATAATAATATAAAGCTCAGTATTAGTGATATATAATATATAATAATATAAAGCTCAGTATTAGTGATATATAATATATAATAATATAAAGCTCAGTATTAGTGATATATAATATATAATAATATAAAGCTCAGTATTAGTGATATATAATATATAATAATAACTTAATAATATAAGCTCAGTATTATATATAATAATATAAAAGCTCAGTATTAGTGATATATAATAATATATAATAATATAAAGCTCAGTATTAGTGATATATAATATATAATATATAAAGCTCAGTATTAGTGATATATAAATATATAATAATATAAAAGCTCGGTATTAATATATAATAATAATATAAAGCTCAGTATTAATATATAATAATATAAAGCTCAGTATTAGTGATACATATAATATATAATAATATAAAGCTCAGTATTAATGATATATAATAATATAAAGCTCAGTATTAGTGATATATAATATATAATAATATAAAGCTCAGTATTAATGATATATAATAATATAAAGCTCAGTATTAGTGATATATAATAATATAAAGCTCAGTATTAGTGATATATAATAATATATAATAATATAAAGCTCAGTGTTAGTGATGATGTATAATAATATAAAGCTCAGTGTCAGTGATGTATAATAATATATAATAATATAAAGCTCAGTGTCAGTGATGTATAATAATATATAATAATATAAAGCTCAGTATTAGTGATATATAATATATAATAATATAAAGCTCAGTGTTATGTTGTCTAATTAGTGGGACTGACGGTGCAGGCAAGCCATGAGCGCAGTGCTTTAAGGGAGTTGTATCTTTAAGATGACGTACAACGCCTTTAACTACAACTCCCGGCAAGCCATGCGTTTCTCTCTGACGTGTAATGAAGTATCCAATCACTGATGAGCGGCACAGATGGAACGCAAGCTCTGAGGTTCGTGACACGCAAGCTCTGGTTCCCCTACGTAATTTCCGGTCTTACTTCCTTAGTGGACTCCCAGCCAAAGTAAGTTCGTTCAGGTAAGTTGCATTATATCAATAATATCCATATATCATAATAATAGAGTATAATATCCATATATCATAATAATAGAGTATAATATCCATATATCATTATATTAATAGTGTATAATATCTATATATCATAATAATAGAGTATAATATCTATATATCATAATAATAGCGTATAATATCCATATATCATAATAATAGCGTATAATATCCATATATCATAATAATAGAGTATAATATATATATATCATTATATTAATAGTGTATAATATCTATATATCATAATAATAGAGTGTAATATCTATATATCATAATAATAGAGTATAATATCTATATATCATTATATTAATAGAGTATAATATCTATATATCATTATATTAATAGTGTATAATATCTATATATCAATATATTAATAGCGTATAATATCCATATATCATAATAATAGAGTATAATATCTATATATCATTATATTAATAGAGTATAATATCTATATATCATTATATTAATAGTGTATAATATCTATATATCATTATATTAATAGCGTATAATATCTATATATCATTATATTAATAGAGTATAATATCTATATATCATTATATTAATAGTGTATAATATCTATATATCATTATATTAATAGCGTATAATATCTATATATCATTATATTAATAGAGTATAATATCTATATATCATTATATTAATAGTGTATAATATCTATATATCAATATATTAATAGTGTATAATATCTATATATCAATATATTAATAGCGTATAATATCTATATATCATTATATTAATAGCGTATAATATCCATATATCAATATATTAATAGCGTATAATATCTATATATCATTATATTAATAGCGTATAATATCTATATATCAATATATTAATAGTGTATAATATCTATATATCAATATATTAATAGCGTATAATATCTATATATCATAATAATAGAGTATAATATCTATATATCATTATATTAATAGAGTATAATATCTATATATCATTATATTAATAGCGTATAATATCTATATATCAATATATTAATAGTGTATAATATCCATATATCAATATATTAATAGAGTATAATATCTATATATCATAATAATAGCGTATATCTATATATCATTATATTAATAGAGTATAATATCTATATATTAATAGAGTATAATATCTATATATCATTATATTAATAGCGTATAATATCTATATATCATTATATTAATAGAGTATAATATCTATATATCAATATATTAATAGAGTATAATATCTATATATCATTATATTAATAGAGTATAATATCTATATATCAATATATTAATAGAGTATAATATCTATATATCATTATATTAATAGAGTATAATATCTATATATCAATATATTAATAGTGTATAATATCTATATATCATTATATTAATAGAGTATAATATCTATATATCATTATATTAATAGAGTATGATATCTATATATCATTATATTAATAGCGTATAATATCTATATATCAATATATTAATAGAGTATAATATCCATATATCAATATATTAATAGTGTATAATATCTATATATCATTATATTAATAGAGTATAATATCTATATATCAATATATTAATAGAGGATGATATCTATATATCATTATATTAATAGCGTATAATATCTATATATCAATATATTAATAGAGTATAATATCCATATATCAATATATTAATAGTATATAATATCTATATATCATTATATTAATAGAGTATAATATCTATATATCATAATAATAGAGTATAATATCCATATATCATAATAATAGAGTATAATATCCATATATCATAATAATAGAGTATAATATCTATATATCATTATATTAATAGCGTATAATATCTATATATCAATATATTAATAGAGTATAATATCTGTATATCATTATATTAATAGCGTATAATATCTATATATCAATATATTAATAGAGTATAATATCTGTATATCATTATATTAATAGCGTATAATATCTATATATCAATATATTAATAGAGTATGATATCTATATATCATTATATTAATAGAGTATAATATCTATATATCAGTATATTAATAGCGTATAATATCTATATATCAATATATTAATAGCGTATAATATCTATATATCATTATATTAATAGAGTATAATATCTGTATATCATTATATTAATAGAGTATGATATCTATATATCATTATATTAATAGAGTATGATATCTATATATCAATATATTAATAGAGTATAATATCTATATATCATTATATTAATAGAGTATAATATCTATATATCATTATATTAATAGAGTATGATATCTATATATCAATATATTAATAGAGTATGATATCTATATATCAATATATTAATAGAGTATAATATCTATATATCAATATATTAATAGCGTATAATATCTATATATCATTATATTAATAGAGTATAATATCTATATATCATAATAATAGAGTATAATATCTATATATCATTATATTAATAGCGTATAATATCTATATATCATTATATTAATAGAGTATAATATCCATATATCATAATAATAGAGTATAATATCCATATATCATATTAATAGAGTATAATATCTATATATCATTATATTAATAGAGTATAATATCCATATATCCTTAATAATAGGTATAATATCTATATATCAATATATTAATAGGTATAATATCTGTATATCATTATATTAATGAGAGTATAATATCATATCATTATATTAATAGTATAATATCTATATCAATATATTAATAGGTATAATATCTATATATCATTATATTAATGGGTATAATATCTGTATATCATTATATTAATATTTATGTATCTATATATCATTGTTATATTAGTAAAGTATAATATCATATATCATTATATTAATGGCGTGTAATATCTATATATCAATATATTAATGAGTGTTAATATCTGTATATCATTATATTAATAGTATAATATCTATATATCAATATATTAATAGAGTATAATATCTGTATATCATTATATTAATAGCGTATAATATCTATATATCAATATATTAATAGAGTATGATATCTATATATCATTATATTAATAGAGTATAATATCTATATATCATTATATTAATAGCGTATAATATCTATATATCAATATATTAATAGCGTATAATATCTATATATCAATATATTAATAGTGTATAATATCTATATATCATTATATTAATAGAGTATAATATCTGTATATCATTATATTAATAGAGTATGATATCTGTATATCATTATATTAATAGAGTATAATATCTATATATCATTATATTAATAGAGTATGATATCTATATATCAATATATTAATAGAGTATGATATCTATATATCAATATATTAATAGAGTATAATATCTATATATCATTATATTAATAGAGTATGATATCTATATATCAATATATTAATAGAGTATAATATCTATATATCAATATATTAATAGCGTATAATATCTATATATCATTATATTAATAGAGTATAATATCTATATATCATAATAATAGAGTATAATATCTATATATCATATTAATAGAGTATAATATCTATATATCATTATATTAATAGAGTATAATATCCATATATCATAATAATAGAGTATAATATCCATATATCATATTAATAGAGTATAATATCTATATATCATTATATTAATAGAGTATAATATCTATATATCATTATATTAATAGTGTATAATATCTATATATCATTATATTAATAGTGTATAATATCTATATATCATTATATTAATAGAGTATAATATCCATATATCAATATATTAATAGAGTATAATATCCATATATCAATATATTAATAGAGTATAATATCTATATATCATTATATTAATAGCGTATAATATCTATATATCAATATATTAATAGAGTATAATATCTATATATCATTATATTAATAGAGTATAATATCTATATATCAATATATTAATAGAGTAATATCTATATATCATTATATTAATAGCGTATAATATCTATATATCAATATATTAATAGAGTATAATATCTATATATCATTATATTAATAGAGTATAATATCTATATATCAATATATTAATAGTATATAATATCTATATATCATTATATTAATAGAGTATAATATCTATATATCATTATATTAATAGCGTATAATGTCTATATATCAATATATTAATAGTGTATAATATCTATATATCATTATATTAATAGCGTATAATATCTATATATCAATATATTAATAGAGTATAATATCTATATATCAATATATTAATAGTGTATAATATCTATATATCATTATATTAATAGCGTATAATATCTATATATCATATTAATAGAGTATAATATCTATATATCAATATATTAATAGTGTATCTATATATCATTATATTAATAGAGTATAATATCTATATATCAATATATTAATAGCGTATAATATCTATATATCAATATATTAATAGAGTATATCTATATATCAATATATTAATAGTGTATAATATCTATATATCATTATATTAATAGCGTATAATATCTGTATATCATTATATTAATAGAGTATAATATCTGTATATCATTATATTAATAGAGTATAATATCTATATATCAATATATTAATAGTGTATAATATCCATATATCATTATATTAATAGAGTATAATATCTGTATATCAATATATTAATAGTGTATAATATCCATATATCATATTAATAGCGTATAATATCTATATATCATTATATTAATAGCGTATAATATCTATATATTAATAGCTTATAATATCTATATATCATTATATTAATAGTGTATAATATCTATATATCATTATATTAATAGCGTATAATATCTATATATCATTATATTAACAGAGTATAATATCTATATATCATTATATTAATAGCGTATAATATCTGTATATCATTATATTAATAGTGTATAATATCTATATATCATTATATTAACAGAGTATAATATCTATATATCATTATATTAATAGCGTATAATATCTGTATATCATTATATTAATAGTGTATAATATCTATATATCATTATATTAATAGCGTATAATATCTGTATATCATTATATTAATAGCGTATAATATCTATATATCAATATATTAATAGAGTATAATATCTATATATCAATATATTAATAGTGTATAATATCTATATATCAATATATTAAGAGTATAATATCTATATATCAATATATTAATAGTGTATAATATCTATATATCAATATATTAATAGAGTATAATATCAATAGCGTATAATATCTATATATCAATATATTAATAGTGTATAATATCTATATATCAATATATTAATAGAGTACAATATCTATATATCATTATATTAATAGAGTACAATATCTATATATCATTATATTAATAGCGTATAATATCTATATATCATTATGTTAATAGCGTATAATATCTGTATATCATTATATTAATAGCGTATAATATCTGTATATCATTATATTAATAGCGTGTAATATCTATATATCATTATATTAATAGTGTATAATATCTATATATCATTATATTAATAGAGTATAATATCTATATATCATTATGTTAATAGCGTATAATATCTGTATATCATTATATTAATAGCGTATAATATCTATATATCATTATATTAATAGCGTATAATATCTATATATCAATATATTAATAGTGTATAGCTATATATCATTATATTAATAGAGTATAATATCTATATATCATTATATTAATAGAGTATAATATCCATATATCATTATATTAATAGCGTATAATATCTATATATCAATATATTAATAGCGTATAATATCTATATATCAATATATTAATAGAGTATAATATCTATATATCATTATATTAATAGCGTATAATATCTATATATCTAGATATTAATAGAGTATAATATCTATATCATTATATTAATAGAGTATAATATCCATATATCATTATATTAATAGCGTATAATATCTATATATCAATATATTAATAGTGTATAATATCTATATATCATTATATTAATAGCGTATAATATCTATATATCATTATATTAATAGAGTATAATATCTATATATCATTATATTAATAGTGTATAATATCTATATATCAATATATTAATAGAGTATAATATCTATATATCATTATATTAATAGCGTATAATATCTATATATCATTATATTAATAGTGTATCTATATATCAATATATTAATAGTGTATAATATCTATATATCAATATATTAGTAGTGTATAATATCTATATATCATATTAATAGCGTATAATATCTATATATCATTATATTAATAGCGTATAATATCTATATATCAATATATTAATAGAGTATAATATCTATATATCATTATATTAATAGCGTATAATATCTATATATCTAGATATTAATAGAGTATAATATCTATATCATTATATTAATAGAGTATAATATCTATATATCATTATATTAATAGCGTATAATATCTATATATCAATATATTAGTGTATAATATCTATATATCATATTAATAGTGTATAATATCTATATATCAATATATTAATAGCGTATAATATCTATATATCAATATATTAATAGCGTATAATATCTATATATCATTATATTAATAGTGTATAATATCTATATCTTAATAGCGTATAATAGCTATTTGTGTTCGGGGCAAATAGCCGTATATGGAGTAAGGTTCCAGCATAAGCGTAGGATAGTATAAAGGGAGCAAGTCGGTTGTGGTGTGCCGAGACCGACAATACGGTAGGCCTGTAAATAAAGAGGGCAAAAAGAATAATCAAAGATTTAATACAGTCAACAATATATACAAATTAACCAGACATTTCCTTAAATGCATTACGGTATTTAATTCCTTGAAGGATTTTGAAGGTAGGAATCTAGGACCGCAACTGGACACCATTTGTTGTGGGTACGATATTAAGTTATCTCTACTGTTGGTGCGTGTTGACTTGTTTCGGAATGTGGTAGAGCCAATAGGTAATGATATATGTGTTTACATACGTGGGATCGTTGAAGACAATGATCGATCTGAGTGGTGGTTATGGTAGTGGATTCTCTGGCCTGAGAAAGGCATAAAAGGCAGTGTGCATGGCTGGTAATGGCCGACTTGGTAGTATAATTGAATGGTTGTAGCTCTAATAGGTCCGATAAGGATGAAAAAGTTGGATGGCTATTGGTAATCTCTGAGAGGAACGTGGGGGGGTGGATTCCTGAAAACCTCTGAGTATATTCTTGTTTGGTATGATAGCATGAAGTTATGGTAGTTTTGGCCATAGGTTATCCTGTGTTGTTGAATGCCTGTAAAATATATAATTAATGGTGTGTGAGATGGTTTTAGTTTAAGGTGGCAAAAAATGAAGCAAAACCTAGGAGAAATGTTATGACACAGGTTGAGCTATGTCGTGTTCCAATGAGATTCTTTAAAGCCAGGTGAATAGCTGTGTTATGCGTTCTACAAGTATGGGATGAAAGTGGGGTAGCGAAGGTGTGTGTTGCCAATAAGTCTATGGTTAGTCTTTGTTTAAGGGAAGATTCTCTTGTGACAATAGCAATGTGTTTGGTGCCATGCTGTAAATGGTGGAGATTGGAAAACCCAAGTAAAAACCCCTCTGCAAATCTTGGCTATGAGTGTGTTTACAGCCGACAGTTCTGTTGTGCTGACTGTAAGTGAGGGCATGCTATATTCCTTGAGGGTTTATTTATGATACCTGTATGGGAGCCCTTTGAAGCTCCAGAGCCTTAGTAAATCTACTACAAGTCTGGAAGGGTGATGAGTCAGTAGTGTTGAAAATGCATTGGTGTGTACGTTATTTGTAAGTTGTATTGGGACACATGATTTGTCATGTGCCCTGAATGATTTGAACATATATGCAACAGTCTATATGCAATGCAACTACCAATACCAATTGTCTCTGGTAGTTCAGAGGTGCTGGTACCTGGAGCCTGAGAGTGCTCGTCCGTTTGGGAGAAAATCCCTTCTGTATGGGTACCTGCACAAATAAGCATCTCTTATACATCATCATACATATATATGCCTTGTTTCCCCAATGTGCCGGGATCAAATGTGCAGGGGTAACGTCTTGTACCAAGAATTGATTGTACCAGGTAACCGAGTTTCGGTTGGTGCTGGTTGTACAGTAGCGTGAGGCCCAGCCTTGTGAGGGCTGTGTTGACCAACTCGAGATTGCCAGTCTGTCGTAAATTTTTTGGCTCATGAGTTTATGAGTAAGGCTAGCATGGCCAGGGTGTCACCTGAGTTGGTGTTTCTGGGCCTTCCCCTGCCTCCGTGTTGTCCGTTGATGTATGAAGGAGTTTGAATAACTCTGCTTTCCTTGCTGTGGCAGGGTAGGGGATTTGTCGCCTCCTTAGGTTGCAGCCACATCTCCTCTGCTTGAAGGTGTATCACTTCTAGCCGGGGTTCCAGGAAGAGGTGATTCTTCACCATCTTTTTGAGAAATACTTAAATAACAATAAAGATTGCAATTATTATTTGTACCCAGGGGTCTTGTACTGGCTTGCTAGCTAAGCCATAAGGCGAAACGATTAGGCTTGGTGTTTTTTGGTGACTGGTGAGGTCCTGCTAATAGCCAAGTGGCTTGAGAGGCTCTATCTATGCCTGGCGCGAGGGGATTTTTTGTGGCCACCGAACGTTGTGGCAAGATGTTGGCCTCTCTGTGACAGTAACCAGAAAATAGGAAGGGGAGTGACAGGTGAGGCCCTCTCTATGATACAATGCGAGGCGGCTAGCTCACGAGTGGCCCGAGGGGTGTATGCCTCCGAGTGTGAGGCGGGGTGTTGGCCTCGCGGGACCACTAACCGAAGCATAATGCAGAGAAAAAAGGGGGTAATACCTATTGGACCCTAGAACCCTAATTGCCAGTACACTATTACTATTCCAGGGAAGGTAAGAGATGGATAACTACGTGAGCAGGTGTACGTACCTGGTAGTATGGTATTGAACCTGACAATCCGTATAGGTTTTTTAGTAGTAACTGTAACCTGAATGGATAAAATCGTATGGCATAAGGAAATATGGCATAGACCAAGCTTATCTTAAAACATACAGTATATGTGAAAGTAAAGTGCCGTGATATGTAAATATTAAACATCATATCCATACTGGTTAAATATGTATCAATCTTAACCCATTAAGTGCCGTATGTATGTGAACCATATTACCAGTTACGTATATACAGATGCGTGTGCTACTGTGTAATAATATGTGTATTTATAACAGATGTTGATATACTGCTTGCTATGTGAATTGTTGTATGCCTTATTGAATGGTCAGTGAACATGGTGTTGCAAAATGCAAGTGCACTGGAGATCTGCCGAGTGCCCTATAGGTGGCAGTGTAGTTGATACTGATTGGTATGTGAAATGTTGTCTGTTGACCTATAGGAGTCAGTGTTTTGGTGTTTGTAAAACCCCATGAAAATTGTCAATGTATTTGACAGACCTGTAGGTGGCAGTGTTGATAGAACCACTGTTAGTCTTGATGTGAAATGTAAATTATTGTGAATTAAACCTGAAGTTGAGCCCTTGTTGGAGTTTAATTTATGGTTTATGGTTATGTTTAAAACAATATTATGTGTAATTTATATTGGCTGGTAATTGTATATGACATGTGAAGACAGTTTTGCTGTTGACCAGTAGGGGTCAGAAATGCTGATTGTATGGTAAATTACCATTTAACCCCTGAAGGATACATGACATGTGTGACATATCATGATTCCCTTTTATTCCAGAGTTTGGTCCTTAAGGGGTTAATCTAAATGCAAGGTTAACGTGAGATTTTGAGAGTGACCTGTAGGGGTCAGTGTGGTTTATGTGAAACATTGTTCGTGAGCTATGCCCCAGCATTATAGTTGTATGACAGGGAAACGAACAGTGCCCGTTTGACAATATACAATAAGTGAACATAATATCTTAATAACAGTCATTGTAACAAACCAAAGTTCTGTTCATGGGTTGTAAACGCACGAAACGTGTGTAGTACAATAGTAAATGCATGAACTAGTTCCCGTTTGGCAGAAAATTGCACGAACCGTGAGCCTGGTATGTCAGGGAAACAAAACAAAACGAGCAGTGAGATTCGAAATGCACGCACAGAATTGCCTAGTATGTTTAGCCAATTGAAACAGAATGTGTTCCCGTTTGGGAGTATGCTAATGCTCGAAATGAGCCAGAGACAGATATAAACAAGTGAATTTAAACGAATGATATGCATGAACATGCAATGGTTTTAGGACAGATTTAGACAAAATGCAGCCGTAAAGTGAGGACCTGACTCCTGCATGGTGCCGTGGGACTGATGCCTGGCGTAACGGGTAGGTCGACTTACGGTTTGTGAGTCACTTGGACACCACCCACAGCGATAGATTGAAGAAAGAAGGTGGTAGGCTGGAAAAGCCTGTGGCTGGATTCCTGACACAGCTCAGCTTAGAAAACCTCATGGAATAATCAGGTAAAATGGCGCCTGGATGACCCGGAAGTGGAAATCATTCTGATGCTGACCTCAAGCGATATGGAGTCAGGTAAGGGGTGTCCCTTATATAGGGGAGTGAATTAATTTAAGCCCCTCCCACAAATACAGGCCAAACGGCCTTAAAACATATCATTATATTAATAGAGTATAATATCTATATATCATTATATTAATAGAGTATAATATCTATATATCAATATATTAATAGTGTATAATATCTATATAGCATTATATTAATAGTGCATAATAGCTATATATCAATATATTAATAACGTATAATATCTATATATCATTATATTAATAGAGTATAATATCTATATATCATTATATTAATAGTGTATAATATCTGTATATCATTATATTAATAGCGTATAATATCTATATATCAATATATTAATAGAGTATAATATCTATATATCATTATATTAATAGCGTATATCTATATATCAATATATTAATAGCGTATAATATCTATATATCATATATTAATAGTGTATAATATCTATATATTTAATAGCATATAATATCTATATATCATTATATTAATAGTGTATAATATCTATATATCAATATATTAATAGATTATAATATCCATATATCATTATATTAATAGTGTATAATATCTATATATCAATATATTAATAGTGTATAATATCTATATATCAATATATTAATAGCGTATAATATCTGTATATCATTATAATAATAGCATATAATAGCTATATATGAATAGCGTATAATGTCTATATATCAACATATTAAAGGATCACTATAGTGCCCTGAGGGTGCCCCCTCCCGCCGGCCTCTGGGATGAGGAAGGGGTTAAGCTTACCTCTTTCTTCAGAGCCGGAAGGGGAACTCTCCTCCTCCTCTCCTCTCTCTTCTCCTCCCTCTTCTCTTCCTCTTCGGCTGAATGCGCATGTGCTGCAGGAGCCGCGCGCACATTCAGCCAGTCCATAGGAAAGCATTCACAATGCTTTCCTATGGACGCTGGTGTCTTCACACTGTGAAAATCACAGTGAGAAGCACGCAAGCGCTTCTTGCGGCTGTCAAGAGACAGCCACTAGAGGCTGGATTAACCCTATTATAAACATAGCAGTTTCTCTTAGAAAACCCTACCTAAATAGTGTAAAATAAAGAAAGAAAACCCTACCTTTATTGAATCTAAGATAAACATGGGAAGAGCCCAATATTACTGAATACCACAAAGGGTGTTTCATTTTGGCTTCACTTTATTTTACACCTTTTTTTTGCTAGCACTATAAGCACTTTATAGTTTACTTTCATTTGTTACCTTGAGACTAAGGTGTGTTGGTTCAGGTAGGCACTAGTTTCGTTCGGTACCGAGGTAACCGAGGGACAGCATATAGTTCATTGGTTTTGCCTTTACCTTTAGGTCCTATCTGGTCTTGTACATTTTGCTTCTATTGCGCGTGGTCAGGCCTCTATAGACACTGTCCTTGGATCACCCTTTTACCAAGAGGAGTGGTGTTTGGGCATACGTCAAGTAGTGTACTTGTACTATTTAATAAATGTGTATTGAACAAGATAGAATGTAACATATATCTGTGTGTAGTTACAATATTTTGAGATAACTTTTTAACATCAATGAAGCAAAAACTCAGGGGGTAGATATGGCTCTGGAGCACAGTGAAGAAGATAGAAGGGGTGAAATGTAACTTATGTAACAGTAGGAATGGAAGGATGGGCTGTTGGAGGATGTCAATTTGGCCAGGAGGAGAGAGTGAGGATAAATTTAGGAGGCAATATGAGAGTAGTTACACTTGTGCTTTGACTATTGCAAAGTCATCTTCAAAGACCACTCCAAGCACCATAACTACAACAGCTGGTCCACTGGTTTTAATTGTGGTAATCGGTATTATTGGTCTCCTCCCATTTTTATCTTAGATTCAATAAAGGTAGGGTTTTCTTTCTTTATTTTACACTATTTTTCTCTTTCTGTGAAGAAGATAGAAGGGGTGAAATGTAACTTATGTAACAGTAGGAAAGGAAGACCACTCCAAGCACCATAACTACAACAGCTGGTCCACTGGTTTTAATTGTGGTAATCGGTAATATTGGTCTCCTCCCATTTTTATCTTAGATTCAATAAAGGTAGGGTTTTCTTTCTTTATTTTACACTATTTTTCTCTTTCTGTGCTCTCTCTGGGTATTCCTTAGGATTTGGAGGACTAAATTGAGTATCATTCTTGATTTTTGTAATTTACGTTTTTAGGGTTATCCCCTCTCTGAGAGCACAGTTTAGGTGACCGCCCTCCGATTTCGAAGGTTGGATGCCGTGGCATCCTTTCTCCCTATTGTGGAGCAAGTGATATTCACGCTATCCCATTTCTTTGATTAATCTTGAAAATTGCCATGGAGTTCATCCACCTGCTGACTGGTGAGGTGAGACTTTTTTATAGTTTGGTCAACGTCTGCAGCATGTCTGTACACGGTCACATTTAACCCCTTAAGGACCAAACTTCTGGAATAAAAGGGAATCATGACATGTCTCACACGTCATGTGTCCTTAAGGGGTTAAAGGAACACTCCAAGCACCTTGACTATAGTAATACTTCGTGTTTCTAGTGCAATGGAGCCTATCCCTCCCTCCCCTCCCCCACATTGTAAGAAGCCAAACTTAGGATCTGTCGAGAGATGCTCCTTGCATCCACTACTTCAGACAGAAAGCTAGAAGCTCTTTGTTTGAGCTAAGCACAGCAATGCAATGCTTAACTCTGAGTGATCAGCTGACTCCTTCTGCCAGTCAGCTAGACCCCATGAACTGTAGGGTTTAGTTTAGGAGAGCTAACCGAAGCTCCTGCACAGGAACCTGTGGCTCTCCATTGGAAGTAGTAGAGGCAGGGAGCGGCACCTGTCAGACAGCAGAGAAGAAGTCAAACCGTGCTAATACAATTTTAAATCTTATAAACCAATGGGTGTCAGTTTATTCCTGGTACTATAACCACTAAAACATGCTGTAATGTTTATAGCGCTCGGAGTATTCCTTTAAAATACGGATGACCATAATATCTGGTGTTGTGGGAAACCATAAATAATTAAAGGACTTTGTACATGGGACGGGTCATTTTCTGAATATTCAGGAAGAAACATGTCTTCAAAGCGGGAGTGATTTTTAAGAAAGTGCCTTGTTCAACCTTTAGGATTATAATGTCGTAAAGAAGTCACCAACAACAGCACCTACACGACGCAGATCCACACCACGCCACCTTTAAATCGTTCACTGGTACACAAGAAAAACACAGACCAGAACATCCTGGAATTTACCAATCTGGTCATCCACCTGCTGACTGGAGAGGTGAGGATGCTGGGACATCATACAGCAAATTCAAGGGATGATTTTTGGTCTGTATGATCTGTACAATTGTTAGACATCATATTTGGAGTGCATTCATGTTTTTTTCTAATTTCACACAGCAGATATCATTTTACAATAAGTTTATGCAATATATGTCTAAATCTGTCATTTCGTTAAAGGGATACTCCAGGCACACAGACCACTTCTGCCCATTGGAGTGGTCTGGGTGCCAACTCCCACCACCCTTAACCCTGGAACTGTAATTATTGCAGTTTTCATAAACTGCAATATTTACCTTTCAGGGTTAAGTCCCTCCTCTAGTGGCTGTCTGTCAGACAGCCACTAGAGGGACTTCCGTGTTCATAGAACACGAAAAGTGTTTTAAACGACGCTGGATGTCCTCACGTTATGCGCCATGTGTGGACCTCCAGCGTTGCCAAAATCCCCATTGGAAAGCATTAAATGATGCTTTCCTATGGGGAGGTCTAATGCGCGTGTGCTCTAAACGTCTGGTACTTTGATCTTATATTCCTTTAATCAATTAGTTATTTTTTTGTATTAAATTAATAAGTACACGACGTAAAGGGTGGAGTATTAAACAAGATAGAATGTAACATAAATCTGTATGTAGTTACAATATTTTGAGATTACTTTTTAACATCAATGAAGCAAAAACTCAGAGGGTAGAGATGGCTCTGGAGCACGGTGAAGAAGATAGAAGGGGTGAAATGTAACTCATGTAACAGTAGGAAAGGAAGGGTGGGCTGTTGGAGGATGTCAATTTGGCCAGGAGGAGAGAGTGAGGATAAATTTAGGAGGCAATATGAGAGTAGTTACACTTGTGCTTTGACTATTGCAAAGTCATCTTCAAAGACCACTCCAAGCCCCGTAACCACAACAGCAAACCATAGTTCCCTGGCACCCCACATGTATTAGTTACATCTTACCTGAATATTGAAATAATCTGAATCATAAAAACCGCCCCCCAGGAATCTTGAATCCTTACACTGTTACTAAATGAACACAACCAGCAGCTGGGTTTATATGGTTTCTTTACACTATAATGGGGAGCCAGTGTCTCAATAATACTAACTACAATCTTTAGGATAAGGGCTTGCAACGTATTTTGACCTTAAGATATGTCTTCTTCCTGGCATTTGCTCATTCTACGGCTACGATGGTTCATAACAGGCTGTCTGTTTTTGTTCATCACACCTACTCTGGTCGGAGCAGTTGTCAACTTTTTAAGTACCGAAGTTCTAAACCAATATAATCTCATTGCATTATAAAATAGATCCTTTATCATATTGCAAGTGCTGTTGTGCAACATTCCCTTAGTATTGCAACTAACCTTTTTAAAGTGCTTGAAGTAATTAGTGACAATTAATAAAAAAAAGGTTTTGCGGTCCAACACAATTAATACTTGCTACATTCCCTTACTAATTTTATAAATTCTAGTCCTTTATGTGCTTAATCTTTTAATGTAAGAATATAGATACAATTGCCCAAATCAGATGCTTATACTGTTGCTAATCTATTTAAAACATAAATTATTGTTTTAATTTAGAGACATCTTTATCTCATTGAAGTGGTCTGGGTGCAGTGTCCCTTTAACCCTGCACATCATTGCAGATTCAGGATGTTTATATTGCGGAGCTAAGACTGCGTCTAGTGGCTGTCTAACGCTTCCTGCTGTTTTACAGTTTAACTCTGTGAAGTGAAGCTGGATGTCCTCATTGTGCATGAGGTCCTCCAGCGTCTTCAAATCTCCCATAGGAAAACATTGGTTTAGAAAGAGATACTTCTGTGCTGGAATACGCTGAGTGTTTTAATGGCTCTTAAACTCTTTAATTGCCACCAGGAGGGCGAGGCACTACAGTGTTAGAATTGTAGCTTTGTGTTCCTAATACTATAGTGTTGCTTTAATAAACTCAATCAAAAATGACAACATTTAAATATGAATAATATCTTCCGACACACAGACGCAATGGAAACAAGGTTTCATTTTTATAGCAGTGTTTTTACTTTACAAGTTCTTATCTCCTGCTCTGTTAAACTTTAAAGAGTTCCTTCCACCACCATGATCACATCTGCTTCCTTTAGAAGTTGGCATGGTAGTAGGACTCTGTATAATCAGTGTTTCTGCTTGAGATACTGAGATATTTGTACCTTTGTGCTGGGAGCTAGTTGCACCCTGGGCACATGTGACATAGGCCTCCCAGAACTCTTATCCGGGCTGCATAGTGTCTGTTCTGTGCAAAATGTACATGTGTTGTTGGTATGCTGGTGACAGATTCTCCCTTACAGCTAGTGCAACAGTTGCTCTTCCCTCCTTCCGAGCAGTTCCTCCTGCCTCCCTATATCATCGTTTTGTTTTGTTTTGTTTTTTAAATTCCCTGAGGCGTTCTGAGCCAGGCAAACTGCGGCTCTGGATCCCAGCTAAGTTTTGACCTTTTTCCTTGGAATCCCAGAGCAAATGTAATATTTATGAGCAGAGTAGATCTGTTAGTAGTGTCCATTCTGCAAGGTGGCATTCCTATATTTGTAGGATACTTACGGGCTCTTATGGAGAATAGCTTCTTTTTGGTGGCATACACATGAAATTGAATGATATAATTTGCCCTAGCATCTAGCATTACTGGCTCTGTGAGCTCTGTCTCTGAGCTAAAGATGGTCAAGAATATCAGGTAAGTAGGAACTAAATACACCTTCTAGCAGTTTGACCTATGAACCTTTGCCAGTCTGTTCTGCCTACGTACTAAAGAGTATTTCGGTGTACGCAGTTGGAGAGATCTGCCAACAAAGATTCATGCTCCTCTAATCTGGACATCATGGTATTTCTGTCTCGACTCTCTGCTCAAGGTCTGCATATGGGACCCTAAGGCTTGTATTTCCACCTTGTGGTTGGTAAAGGTCAGTAGGACTATCCTTTGTTGTAGAATTGTGGTAACACATCTGCTTGTCACAAAGGCAGGGTTGGCTTTCACCTCCATCTGTAGTGGGTGTTGAGTTTTTCTTTGTGCAATGTCTAAAATGTTTGTAGTGTTGGGTTGGTTTTCCTGAATTTTTGCAGTAATAAAATTAAAGAAATACTTAACCCAATGCTCTGGTTGAACCACACTCTAATGGTATTTCATTGTATCATTATATCAAGTAAAAAATGGCAAGTGCAGCTTACATAATACATAATACAATAAGACAGCAAAGTATCATGGGACTTCAACGGCTATGCCTCCCTTGGGTTACAGGTACACTCAATTACTCAAATAGAAATTACTGTTTAGACGAATGCCCCCAATGAAAACATGCATGCATTATAGATAGCTTGCTAAAAAGTCAAGATATCTTGTCTGAAGCCTTTGCAAGTCCCCTTCTTCCACAGCCCAGACTCTCTGTGGCTGTCCAATCATTGACTTTCTAATGTAGCTCAATGAAAAATATATTTGCAAGGTAGTAGCCCTGGGCAAGTTTACTCACTATAGTGCTTTAGGGGTCCGTAGAGTCCCTTTAAGCACAATGAATATCAGACGTCTGCGCTCTCCCAGATATCATTGCAGATAATTTCATTCTTGCAATTGAACGAATGTTCTACACTATGAACGATTGACTTAGAATCACAAATGTACAATATTATATATCTTCACTGCAGAGCTGTAGCTGTGAAGAACATTTGAATGGCAGTAACTGTGTTGAGTGTCAGGTCCCAACCTCACGACATCCAACTGAAGTGACGATGAGCAAGGACGGGAATCAAGTGACTAAGAGAATCTTGGAACTCACCCTGAAGATTATTAACTTACTGACGGGAGAGGTGAGGGGTTCTGGGAATGTCACAATAGAATTTCTGCGTAAAACAAATATTATAAATGTTTGGGCATATCAAGACTGAGACAAATATTGATATTTTTGCAGTAGTGGACCACGGAGTGGCATAGCTACAGAGATCATTGCATTTTATTGGTTATTAATATTTGTATATGCTTGTTGTTTCCAATGTGTCTCTTACATGCCTCCGATACATGTGTCTATGTACACAAGTCTCTTTCTATCTGTAGGATTATTTTGTTGTCCGGAAGCCTAGTGACCTTGCCACACACAACACCAGTACGCATAAGTCAGTAGGTTCCTGTAAAACCCAGAACCCCAGCATAGTACCTCTGCCTTACTTCTTGATACATGAGAGAAATGATGACAAAAAGATCCTGGAACTGACCAACAATATCATCCACCTGCTGACTGGAGAGGTGAGGCTGGTGGGAATGGGACATTATTCAATAAAACCAAGGGATGTGTCTGGATGATGACTGTAGCATTGTGTGTGTCAGGTTCCTGCAGCATGTGAAGATGTCACTGTCTATCTCTCTATGGAGAAGGTGGAGTATTTAGACAGACACAAAGATCTCCACAGGGATGTAATGATGCATCACCAGCCTCTTAATTCTCTGGGTAAGAAAATATTGTCTTTGTCATTTGTGGCACCTTGTTTAGTGGACAAATTTAGTCAGCCACAATAAGATGGTTTGTTTAGCTAATTCCTCATTATAACTGTTATGAATACACTGGAAAAGTTGCAGAATAAGGGGAACATTACTTTATGCCTAGTGTAGAGCCAATTTCAAAGCATGCTATTTGATAATGACACATTAATGTGTATTCTCTCAAAGCACTACAGCAATGTGTGTTATTGCAATTGTAGCTCAAAACCACTCACCCTTCCGTGGCATGAATTCAGACTACATTTTTATTAACTTTGTTAATGGACCAGTTTCTCCTGACTCCTCTATGAAATGATGCTGATCTGGCTGGTCACTCCATATTATAATAGTTTGAATAATTCATCCACCTGTTACCATTATATGTATATATACACTGACATGTTATATAAGGTATACCACAAGACTGCTACCGCTGACAGTAGTACAAACTATAATTAGTAACTAATTTTGGTTGACATATGCATACTATCCTTTCTTAAGACCAGTAGTTTTTATTCTCATCCATACCATGTTTTTTGAAGTTGTAATATGGTAACCCAACACAAATGTAATTAAAACTAATTAAATTACACTAGCCATCATAACCAGTACTTGGTGATGCAGAGGTTATGGTGCTTCTAAACTGTAAGAGCCTTCCCTGGTTCTTGGTTCTTCAGAGCATTTTGAGCCAATCCTAGAACCCTCACTCCTACTATCACTCACGGGAATTGCTAGTGTAACATCTGCATTAAAAATATCAATTGCATCCATATTTTAAAGCCATTCATTGATTGAGTGGATCCTTTTTTTTAATGTTTGTTATCTTTTTGTCTTCTTTTTTTTAATAGATGGATTGATGGGGAGAAATACGCCAGATGAATTTAACAATGTATTTTCATTGCGGGATTGTAATAATGAAGATAGAGACAACCTTAAAACTGTACATAGAAAGACAGCGAGAGAATTGGCTAGAATATCTGAAATACAGATAGTTAAGGAATCTGTCCTTGATGGTAAAGAAAATATTACTTTAACACAAACGGGTCTTATATCTTCTCATATTAAGGAGGAACCAGCCTCATGTGTAGAAAGAAATATCACAGACATTAACACTCATACATCAATAAAACAGAAGCAGACTGAAAATATATCAACTCGTATTAAAGGGGGATCAACTTCATTTACAGAGGAAAATCTTAAAGGTATGGACATTTATCCATCTACACAACATGCACACAGTGGAGAAACATCAGTTCATATTAAGGAGGAATATTCCTCAGGTGAAGAAGGAAGAAGTCTCAGAGACATGGACCCTTATATTCCGATAGTACACACACACACTGGAGATACAACTATGCATAATAAAGAGGGATTAGCCTTATCTGCTGAAGAAAACCTCATAAACTTGGGCATTTATAAAACCACAGAAAATGAACACAGTGGAGAAACATCAGCTAATATTAAGGAGGAATTATCGTCATGTGAAGAAGGAAGAAGTCTCAGAGATGTGGACACTTTTACTCCCATAGAACAGAAACAGACTGGAGATGTAATTATGCATAATAAAGATAGATCAGCCTCATCCGCTGAAGAAAACCTTATAGACATTGCCATTTATCCACCCACTGAACAGGCACACACTGAAGATGCATCTTCTTATATTAAGGAAGAATCAACCTCAAGAGGAGAAGAAAATCTCACTAAACCCACAGAACATACACTGACTGAAGATACATCTACTCATATAAAGGAAGAATTAGCTTCATGTGAAGAAGGAAATATCATAGACACTGACATTAATACACCCACAGAACATACGCAGATTGAAGTTACGTCTACATGTATTAAAGAGGAAATGGCTCCATGTGAAGAAGCAAGTCCCATAGGCACTTACACGAATACACCTACAGATCATACACAGAGAGATTATTCATCTACTCTTATTAATGATAAGTCAGCCTCATGTGGAGAAATGAATCTCGCAAACTCTGACATTCCTATACAGACAGAATATCAATCTATTCAGATTAAGGATGAGAAATCAGACTCAAGTCAAGAAAGAATTCTCAAAGACACTGACAATTCTACACCCACAGAACAGACAAGGACAGAAGATACTTTTACTCGTATTAAGGAGGAAAATCCCTTAAATTCTGACAATTCTACATACCCGGCACCTACACAGACAGAATGTCCATTGTTTCAAATTAGTGTGAAGTCAGGATCAGGTAAACAAGGAAAACTAACAGATGCTGGCATTTATAAACACACAGAACATACAGAGACTAAATCTACTCATGTTGGGGATAAATCAACCCTGTATGATGAAGAAACTATGGAAATTGATGAATGTACATCCATTGGTCAAAGATCTGATCACACAAAAGAGGTGCCTACCTCAAGTAAGGAGCAAAGTCTGATAGTTGGCGACCTTTCCTTTGGACATACAGACATACAATCTAGTGCTATTCCAGAACATAATCAGTGTGATGAAAATATATCCCCTGATACAGAGGATAGAAGTTCAAACAACATAGAGAAAATGTATTATTGCTCTGTGTGTCACAAAAGTTTTGCTAACAAATCAGAAAGATTTAGACACCAGAAAAGTCACAAAGAAAAGAAGTTGTCTTGCACTGATTGTGGCAAATGTTTTCATTATAGATCTGAACTTCTTATTCATGAAAGAACACATACAGGGGAGAAACCATTTGTGTGTCAAGAGTGTGGGAAAGGTTTTGCCCAAAATTCCTTCCTTATTACCCATCAGAATGTCCATCTTGGAGATAAAACACTTGTATGTCCTGAATGTGGGGAAACATTTAAAGATAACTTAGAATTTGTTAAGCACCAGAAAAGTCACAAGGAGAAAAGGCTGTCTTGTTCTTATTGTGAGAAGCGTTTCTTTTATCAATCAGATCTTACCATACATCAAAGAACTCACACTGGAGAAAAACCATTTACTTGCACTGATTGTGGAAAAAGTTTTGTCAGGAATTCTTTTCTTGTTGCCCACATGAGCAGCCACACAGGACAGAAGCCATTTGCATGTACTGACTGTGAGAAATCTTTTTCTAGTAACAATGATCTTGTTAAACATCGGAAAATCCACAAAGAAAAAAAACTGGTGTGCTCTGATTGTGGAAAACGCTTTCTTTATAAATCAGAACTTGCTACCCATCAACGATCTCACACAGGAGAGAAAGAATTTGTGTGTTCTTATTGTGAAAAGGGTTTTGCTTGCAATTCACACCTTAATGCTCATCTAAAGATTCACATGGGAGAGAAACCATACAAATGCTCTTTTTGTGGAAAAGGTTTTGTCCAAAAAGTAGTTCTGGACAAGCACGTGAAAGTTCATATGGGACAAAAGCCCTATGTGTGCAAAGAATGCGGAAAGGGTTATATTGATCAACGAAGTCTTGTCAAGCACCAGGTTATACATGCTGAAACGCAGTTCCCGTGTCCTGACTGTGGGAAATGTTTTTCCGATAATGCTAGTCTTATAAACCATCAGAAAGTTCACTCTAGTGAAAATCCCTTCACTTGTTCCTTCTGTGGCAAAGGATTCGGTAGTAATTCACTTCTTATTGCTCACAATAGGTGTCATACTGGAGAAAAGCCATTTTTATGCTCTGACTGTGGAAAAGGCTTCAGCAGAAAGTCAACTCTTGTTGCACATCAGAGAATCCACACTGGAGAGAAACCATATGAATGTACAGACTGTGGAAAGCGGTTTACACAGAAATCTGAACTTATTACACATCACAAGATTAAGAAGGGAGAGCGATCATATTCTTGCACTGAATGTGGAAAATGTTTTGTCCTAAAAAGCTGCCTGAGTAGGCATTTAAGAATTCATGCAGTAAAAGAGTAAACATTAGTTTAAAATAAACTAAATACGTATATATTTTTAAACAAATTGATGTTGACATTTGGAATGTCATATTGAGCCATCTCCACTGCCCTAATGCAAAAATAAAATTACAAAAAAACACTGTTTAGTACATATACCCCAATTAAACCAGGCATGTCTTTTATTATGCATTTTTACATTTTATATATATATATATATAAACGGCTTGCAGAAACTGTAGTTCTTCTGGCTGCATCATTTGCAAGCCTTTACCTTCTTCCCCAACCCAAAGATTCTTTGGCTGTCCAATCACGGACTTCCCAAGGATAGTCTTTGTAAAGTAGGTGCTCTGGGCAATTGTTACCTCTTGAGTTTAGCTTCACTGAGATAAAAAAAAAAACCCAGAAAGTAAGAGGACCAGTTGTCTGACAGCCAGGAGAATGTAAAAAGATTAATTTATGAAAGTGCCACTTTCTATTGAAATTTGCACTTTTTTAAAATGAAAAAGGAACTACACTCCTCACACATAAAGCACTTTAAAGCTTAAGTGCTTTAGGGGTGGGAGTATCACTTCAAACTCAGACAGGTAAACCGCAGATAGTAGATCGTTTGTGTTTTGAGAAGCTAATTTCCTTTTACTTAGAGTGAGGTTAGTACTACCTGATCTTTTTACAGCCCCTAACAAATCATCCCTTCTTCACCACGTACGTTTTACAACTTTATATATTTTTTTTAATTTTAAAATGATTTCTTTCACTTTAGACTTCTGTAGAACATCTCCCAGAAGAACATTTCCATTGTTTCTAGTTTATTTATTTTTTCATGATTTCATGGAGCTCTTAACCAAATTTGGCCTTTTCTCCTACTATGTATGAACCTTGAGACTGTGTCTAAGCATTCCCAGCTGCTGACAGGAACTTTCACCAGGAAACACATGGACAGCTAACCACTACCGCAGCACCTCCAGAAACATCCCCAAGTAGTAGGTAAAATGGATAGAGAGAAAAGAACGAGGAGGTTTCTGTAAAATAATAGGAAAAACCATTACAAAAACCCACTTTCCCTAATTCTGTGTCATTTAAATTAACTGTCGTAAGATAATTAGTGGAAATACAGGAATTTATTAGTTAGGAGACTACAGTACCAGCAGTTATTAAAATTGATGCCGCTTGTTGCTCTAATATGGATGTATCAATTTCACAGTAGATTGTTAGTGTAATAAACTGAACTTTACAACTTATAGTTGACCTTTTATTACTTTATTTTTGTTGCTAATGTTGTAGAAGGGCATTGCTTCAAATGTCTTCTGCTGATAGAGACAAAAAAAAAAAAGCTCAAGCCATAAAAAGTCCATTGTAACATTTATCTAGAGATAGAGTGACCCATTACATATACCTTTTGTCTGGAAAAGTGATGTTTAGATAACTGTGTTTATATGGTGAAGTAAACATCCTGCTAACCATCTTGTGGATAAAGTCACATGGACACATAGGTGGGCATCCATATTAGACTGCTTTCATCATGTCAGAATTACAGGTATGGGTTGAGTAGCAGAGGATTATCATACATGATTGTATATACTTTTAAATAAATTATTTTTTATTGGATTCTTTGTCATTTTTGTTAACCATCTTTATGGCAGATGTGTCCAAACTCCCACCAAATTGGCTTTGAGTGACCCAGCCAAAATGATGCCCTTAGCCACCCAAAGCTCACCCACTAAAAAAAAAAAAAATTCTGGCTTTTCTGCACATTTGCCTCAATGTCCTGCACTCCTGCAGGAGTGAAAAGCATGTTTGTTGGGGGAACAGCACTGGGATGGAGAGCAGGAGAAATGCATGTAGTACAGTCTCCAATACATTTCCTATGTGACAAGATCTGACTATCATAAAATGGACACTGAGATTATTTCTATGATTGCTGAAAAAGATTGTTATTTTACCCAAGATTTTCTTATAACAGATACAGGGGACCAATGTGGGGAAATTGGGAAAATATCACAAAGTTACATACATAAGGCTAAATGAGCCAATCATATGTATATTAACCGTTAAAAACATAACAATGTTATCATTTTATTACAAAGGCTTGTTAATGTATTTCTAGAACAAATCAGTCCCACGGATTTGGCTACACATACCGCTGACCTCGTTCGAATGAACAAAGATGGCTGCTCCCACGTGCTCCCAAGTGCCAATTTAAAGCTGCAGAACTCCAATACAATTTAAAGGGCCAGCATGGTCCAATACAAGTCCATAAACCACAATGCAGTTGTTAAAGAGCCAGCAGCAGCACAATATAAATCAATTAGCCCAAATAATGTTTGTAAAGTGCCATACAACCCAGGGCCATAGTCATGAGGCAGGAGGCTGGCACTCAGGCTCCTCCAACAGCCAGGGGCAAAGGGCAACTTGTCACCTAAAAATCCAGTGACAAAAGGCATTTCGTCACAGTGTGACATTGCAATATTCATTCTATTCTCAGGACATCTCAAGTGGCTGTAAGTAAAGATTGCGAAGATTGCAGGACCAACATTCGGCATCCTCTGCAGGAAGACACTATGCACTCAACATAAAGAAGCATTAGTATCATGTATCTCTATGTGCAAATGCCGAATGGCACAGTGATTGCCATGCATATAGCCGTTCCAATGCTTCTTTACGGGAAGCCCTGGATTATTATAATGATGAACTCAACCAATGGAGGACTATCCCACAGAGTGGGACCTAATTTATTTTATTTTACTGTTTATTTGATGGTTACAGGGACCTGCATCTAGATAGTTAAGAGTACATCTCACAATAGCATGTTTTTTAATGAATAACCGGAGGTGTTTTGCTTTCGCTATATATCATTGCATTTTTGTTTACCGTATTTTATGTCCACTGTGAGTCTTCATATTAGTTGTTAAGCTGCATGTTATCAGATGTATGTCAGTGCATCCTCCATGCCCGACTGGTCAGCCAGCATCCCAATCTGTGTTTATAAAGGAAAAGTATTACAGTTTGAGTCTCAGCAGGAACAGAGCTTTATGCCAGGGCTGGGCAATTTATGGCACTCTAGAAGTTGTGGACTACATCTCCCATAACGCTCTTACAGCCAGAATGTTGTAAAATTATCAATGAAGAGGTAGTCCACAACATCTGGAGTGCCAAAGGTTGCCTTCTGCTGGTCTATGCCATGTATACTGTAATTTAAAGAGATGTCATTCAAACATCAAATTCTGTCCAACTATCCCAACCTGCTGTATTTGGTTAAATGCACATGCATCCTGATGAGATCATTGTCGCATTCAAAAGCTTTAGCTTTGAGTGAGACCGTTCTTTCATTCTGCAATGTTGAAAAAGCAGGTACATTTTTTTTTTCACATTTACCTGCTTCTTCTTCCTTGCACTTTCCATTATCTGGAGAGAGAGAGAGAGAGAGAAGCCGCTTCGACTAGCTGACCGAGAGAATCCTGGAAATGTAGAACAATCCCACTAGCTATTACAAAGCTAGGATACCCTTTTCCCCACAAAACGAGTCGAGGCTGCGATTTGATGGTCAAGCAAGAACTGGCTTTAATGGCACTTGGGCATCGGTATTTACGCAAAATCTCAGGTCCAGGGACAGCCCCCTCTGGACCTGATGGGATACAGGAATAATACATGGGATCACTCAATAAGAATGAAATGCATCGTTTGAATGTGTTACCGCCCAGCTTGGAGATAATGAACCCAACGGCTATGCCAATACAATTATCTCCAAGCGCCCAAAATACCACGTGTTTATTATACATGAAAAACAGGTTAAAAATATATAACTTCAACATTTTCAGCAATACTTCGGGACTTCCACCATTCATTCTGTAGCTCAGCTCAGCTCAGGTCCGAATAGCACCTCAATCCCACGAACCATATGCTTGGTTTCTCGGTTGCAAAGTCTGTTTGCATATTTGATCCCCGGCTTGATATGGTGGCCATGTTTTTGAGTGAGTCAATGGGCAGCGGGAGCTCGGCATCAACTTTGTGGAACGAATAACGGCTAGAGTTGTACACGAATCCCCGCTCTCAGGCTGGATGTTTCGGCTATTCGGGAGACGAACGTAGACCGCCGGGAAGTGGGTACTTAACCTGCGGTTAACTTCAACATTCTAATTGAGGCCACACGCCAGGCTGTAGGTGGTCCCCATTCGTGCCCCTTTCGGTAGTTAAATCATCGGGAGATACAGCATGAACGAGAATGCCCGGAGACCGTCAATTAACCTGCGGTTAACCGCAGACCGCAACTCTCGGGGTGATCAAGTGGTAACACACTCCCCTCGCAGGGTGGTCGGTTGTTGAAAGGTGACCCGGGTTAAGTGGCGGTTAAGTGGCTTTTCTCCCCAAAACCAGTTCCACAGAGTCCTCTATCCTGGAGATAATTGGGAAGTAATCCAATTATCTCCCAGGACAGAGGCAAAACTCCATTAGCCACATGGCAGACAAAGGACAATAAAAGACATAAAAATACATACTGTTACATTTATCACATAGAACATACACATTCTACCTATCCCCAGATAGCTTAGATCTGAGCGCACATTATTACCGGATGGTGCTCAGATCACATACATACAGTTCAATCGCCATGGAGCCAAAGTCTTTCATACAGTCTTTCAGTATACGGCTGGGCTCCATGGCATAGCTATCTGGGATAGCATGGCTTTAACAGTCCGCAGAAAGGCACGAATAAACCTTTCTGCAGGTAAAATACAAGTTTAAAATGCAGGACCATAGTCTAAAGGGAGCAGGCGAGCAACCAGGCCTCTCCAGTGGACAGTGGCGAGGTTGGTTCCGCCACACACACGAATGCACAGCTTCAGCGACACACACACACATATGCAGGCAGTCACACACCCAAAGTCACAGCTACAGCGACACACAAAGGCAGCCACACACAAAGGCACAGCTACAGCGTCACACACAGGTACAGGCAGACAGTCAGACACACACAGTTATGTGAACACAATCATGAACAGTTACAGGCACACAGTCACACACACACAGGTAGGCAGTCACACACGAATGCAAAGCTACAGCGACACACACACAGGCAGGCAGTCACACACACAAAGGCACAGCTACAGCAACACACACAGGCAGTCACACACAAAGGCACAGCTACAGTGACACGCACAGCTACAGTGATACAGTCACACAGGTACAGGCAGACAGTCACACAAACATTTACAAGCAGACAGTCACACACACAGTTATGTGAACACAATCATGAACAGTTACAGGTACACAGTCACACACACAGTTACAGGCAGACAGTCACACACACAAAGGTACATTGACACGCACAGCTACAGTCACACACAGTCAGGCAGACAGTCATACACACAAAGGCACAACTACAGCGACATGCACAGCTACAGTCACACACATGCAGTCACACACACACAGGCAGGCAGTCAGTCACACACAGTCAGGCAGACAGTCATATACACAAAGGCACAACTACAGCGACACGCACAGCTACAGTGACACACACAGTTACAGTCACACACACTTCCTTCTTTTCATTCCTGCAGGAAGGGGGAGTGGAGGCAGTTGGTTGTTGGGGAAGTAGGGACTCCTTCCTGCTTTCCCCTTACTGTGCAGCAGTTACTGCTTCCTCCTTGCCGCACATCTCGCACACCCCTTATGCTGGCCCTGGTAGTGAGAGACAGTGAGTTTGAGAGACTGAGTCAGTGAGAGATTTAGTGAGTGTGAGAGAGACAGTGCGTGGAAGAGACAATGAGTGAGAGATGGAGTGTGTGAGACTGTGAGTGAGGGTTAGCGTGTGAGTGTGGGCTGGTGATTGAGTGATTGTGAGTGTGGGCAGGTGACTGAGTGATTGTGAGTGAGGGCGGGTGACTGAGTGTGAGTGAGTGGCTGTGGGAGTGAGAGATTTAAATTTTTTATAAATGCATTCTTTTCCGGTTACAAACTTATCAGATGTTAAATTTCTCATGCAATGAAACTGCTGTTTGCAATTCCATATTATATTATGTGGGAGTGAGAGCGTGGGAGTGAGAGTGAGAGAGTGGGAGTGAGAGATAGAGAGAGAGATAGATAGAAAGAAACAGATAGAAATAGATAGAAAGAAAGAAATAGATAGAAATAGATAGAAAGAAATTGATAGACATAGATAGATATAGATAGAAAGAAATATATAGAGAGAAAGAAACAGATAGAAGTAGATAGATAGAAAGAAATAGATAGATAGAAAGAAATAGATAGATAGATAGAAATAAACAGATAGAAATAGAAAGAAATAGCTAGAAATAGCTAGAAAGAAATAGATAGATAGACATAGATGGAAATAGATAGATAGACATAGATATAGATAGAAAGAAATAGATGGAAATAGATAGAAAGATCGATTTAGATTTAAGAGATTGATAGATAGAAATAGATAGAAAGAACTGGATAGATAGAAAGAAATAGATAGAGAAAGAAAGAGATAGATAGAAACAGATAGAAAGAGATAGAAAGAAATAGAAAGAGATAGAAATAGATAGAAAGAAAGAAATAGATAGAAAGAGATAGATGGAAA